AGTTCCCCAGTGATGCCTGGTGTGAGGGACCACCACAAACAAACCCCGGGACCAGGGACCACCACAAACCAACCCGGGACCACCACAAACCAACCCGGGACCACCACAAACAAACCTGGGACCACCACAAACATACCCAGAACCACTAGTGTTGTGGGTATAGGGTCAAGGGATCTCCATGGGAACCAGGGGAGCATTGGGAAGCAGAGGAGAACAGAGGCAGGGAGGAACAGGCAGGAGGGACGTGGGAAAGAAATGTGTGCTCATTTGCACTTAGTCCACAGCTGCCCCAGTGACTCCTTTTTGATTCCTCCTCCCCTGCACTAAGAAACCATGGCGAATCTGCTCAGAGAGAGGCCTCCTTGTATCAGAACTGCAATTTTTTTTTAAATAGTGCTGGGATTGAATGTTGGGATCTCCACTTGTTAAATATGTGCTCAACCACTGAGCTCCACAGTCCTAGAATTATACTTCTTCCATTCCAGAAAGAACAATAGGAATAACATGGACTCTTGTTTCCCAACCTTTCTTCTGAGCCTTTTGTGGATATCTTGTTTAGAATCTCAAAGGCCTGCGGGGGTGGGGGGGGGAGGATATAATGCATATATGTATATGCAGGGTCCAGAGGAGCCTGGACGAAATCTGCCCAGAAGCTCCGGGATGCTTTCTAAGGCAACAGGACACTAGGCCATACTGTCAGGAGGTTCACATGAGCTGGGGGCTTCAATTATATCTTGGGTACAGATCTGAGAAGGGATCACCATGTAAGCATTGAGAGTGGCGTTCTAGCCCAGTGACAGGTTGGAGATGTAGGTAGAACGAATGAATCCCAGCCTGTGGTCATTCTTCTGTGTTGTTTCCATTTGGTGATTCGGTTGTAACCATCTCATGCTTAACCTTCCTCCTCCTCCTCCCTCTCCTCCTCCTCCTCCTTCTCTGTCTTAGTTAGGGTTTCTATTGCTGTGCTGAAACACCATGACCAAAGCAAGATGGAGAGGAAAGGGTTTATTTGGCTTACACTTCCGCATTGCTGTTCATCACTGAAGTCAGGACAGGAGCTCAAACAGGGCAGGAACCTGGAGGCAGGAGCTGATGCAGAGGCCATGAGGGCAGAGGGGGTGCTCCTGACTGGCTTGCTTCCCATGATCTGCTCAGCCTGCTTTTCCTTCCTTTTTTTCCCTTTTTAAAGATTTATTTATTTATTTTTCTAACTTTCTTTTTATTTATTCTTTGTGTCTTTCACATCATGCCTCCTGATCCTATCTATCTCCCCCCTCCAAATAAATAAAATTTAAGAGGAAAAAAAAGAAAGAGAAAAAGAAAGAAGGAAGAAGGGGAAAATTTCATCCTGGAAGCTGCAGTGTGACACAGTGAGTCACGCAGCAAACCCCTTTATCCATATATTTTTACACGCAAGTGTTTATCACAAAGAATCGTTGGTCTGGTTCGAGGCTCCTGGTTTCTGCTGTACCATCAACGCTGGGCCCTCACTGGGACTCTTCTTGGACATCCCTTTGCTGCCCTGTGTCATCAAGATTCTGTGGTCCTGGTTCTGCAGGACTGACACCCTACCCCACCCCCTTCCTTCCCCCATCCCCCCCACCCTGCTTCAGCAGATAGCAGATGGGGTGGATGTTAACACATAACCCTGGTTCTAGGCCTGGGTAGTTGCAGGGTTGGTCAGCCTGCCGGCTCTCCCCTGTCTTCACCACCAGGGGGAGCTCTCCAGAATTGCCCTGGCGAGTTCACCCCTTGCAGCAAGGAGCAATGGGCAGGGCCAGTTCTCTGGCTTTCCTGTCCTCAGAGTTGATTCTCCCACACCTACACCTTCAGGGCCAGCTCTGTTACGTTGCCCAGGAGAGGTGTAGAGGCCACTCTCTAGAGTGCTGCAGCTGATGAGGGACAGGGACAGCTCTCCCACCTGCCTTAGGCATTGATGGGTGAGAGGGGAGGGCATCTCTCCCCCGCCCATGCCACCACATGACAGATGAGGAATGGGGAAGGCTCTGTCATGCTCACAACTTTGGGCTGGCTCTCCCACACCTCCACCAACATGGTTGGCTCTACTATGCTGCCCAAGTTGAGGTGCAGGGCCTGTTCTCCTGAGTGTTGCAGCTGGTAGGAGGCAAAGCCAGCTCTCCTGCTTTTATGACCTCAGGGCCAGCTCTCTTACTTGCCTCAGGCGTTGATGGTGGGGGTGGGGGGAGTAGCTGAAGAAGCCTCCAGTTGAGGTTTCCTTCTTTCAGATAATTCTAGCTTGTATCAAGTTGGCATAAAACTAGGTCAGGACATTCTCTAAGCAGCTTTTTATATTGTGGTTGCAAATACCAAGATATGAAATTGTAGTTGATGTGGCGGTGCACACCTTTAATCCCAGCACTCGGGAGGCAGAGGCAGGCAGATCTCTGAGTTCGAGGCCTGCCTGGTCTACCAAGCAAGTTCCAGGACAGCCAAGGCTACATAGAGAAACCCTGTCTCAGAAAAAAAAAAAAATGCAGTGCACATGGGCAGTCCTGGCTAGCTCATCACAGAGTGAGGCTGGAGAGATGACTCCATGGTTAAGAGTGCATACTGTTTGTACAGAGGACCTGAGTTTGGCTCCCAGCACATGTGAGGTGGCTCACAACTGCCTGTAACTCCAGCTCCAAGGGATCCAACATCCTCTCTGGCCACTGTGGTCACTGCACTCAGGTGTAGTGTCCAGGCCTTACTCTGGCTTACATTCCCTTACCTCTACCCTCCTAACCCCCCCTTTTTTTCCACTATTGGATCTAGAACCCAGTGCCTCACACCTGCCAGCTGTCTCCTTAGCCTCTAGATTTCTTGAAGCAATAAAATAATTTGGTTTGTGGGAAATTCCCAAAGATGTGTCCATCTTGGTATTCAGTATTCTGTGAGGTTAGTTTTCCAAGTTCACCCATTCCGTTCTCATGTAGCCAAGCAGGAAAGTAATCTCTGGGCTTGTAAGCTACTTCCAGTGCTCACAAAGGATCCGCCCTTCCCTGAACCCTGTGGTCCCTGAGCCTCCCCGTCTTTCCCTGTTAGCGGGCTCTAGTGGCTGTGGAACAAAGGGAAGTTCACTGCTGTGACAGGCAGGCAGCCACTCTAGGGGAAATATGATGTATTGTGCTGCGTAGGAAAAAGCCAGTATTACCAGATCCAGTAATCTGGTTTTTAGACAGAGGCAGGACCCTGACCGAACGTGCTGTCTATGACTAAGCATGGAATTTATATTGTTTTCAGAAACAGGTTTTAAAATCAGTGTGTACTTGGCTTGTCTGTTTCTTTTAGATATGAAATATATTTTGCCTAAGTGTATTTTTTATTTTGGAAACCACTAGATTGATTCTTGTTCCCTAGTTAGCACACAGTGAGCACCTATTGTATACCAGGTCCTGTGTAAAGTGACACACAGATACAGAGTCTGAGGTAGGGAAATACAGTTGGCAGGTGACCAGTGAGAAGAAGACAGTGTGTGTTGCTTTCCTTCTTGCTGTCTGTTTCAAAAATATGTCATCAATTCAACTTAGGCAGGGATGATTTTGTCCTTGTCTGCTTGGTGGTGCAGTTGGCCATTGTGAGAAGCAGCTGCTGACATGGAGTCCCCTGTCAGGAAGCAGAGAGAGAGGAAGGCTAGTACCCAGCTCTCTTTCTCCTTTTGTTCATATCCAGTCCGGGGCCTCACGAGATGATGCCACCCACATCTAGGCTAGGTCTTCCCTCCTCGGTTATGACACCCTGGGAAGGCGAGGGCCTGCATGCACACTCATGAACATAAACAAACAAACATAAATTTTGAGAGCGTAAAAAATGATACAACCATGTAGGTCTCTTTGTTCGTTTATGGAGACAGGATTTCGTGTGGCCCAAGCAGTCTTCGAACTCACTGCGTGTCCTGGTTTGCCTCCTCTCGCTGTAATAAAGACCGTGATCAAAAGCAGCTGGAGGAGGAAGAGGGCTTTGTTTTATCTTCGTCTCACACTCCATGTTGCAGGCGAGTTAGGACAGGAACTCGAGGCAGGAACTGAAGCAGAGACTGTGGAGAGGTGCTGCTTGCTGGCTTGCTCTCCAGGATCACATCAGCGCCTTTCTTACACCTCCAGGACCATGTGCCCAGGGGTGGCACTGCCCATGGTGTGCTGGCTTCTCCCTCCCCAATCGTCAATCAGAAAACAAAAGGCCCTGCTGACTTGCCCAGAGGCCAATCTGGTGAAGGCATTTTCTCAGTTGAGGCTCCCTCCTCCCAGATGACCCTAGCCAGCACGCTGTGTAATCATGGAGGTGACCTTGAATTTCTCCCTTTGGAGTGGTGAGATTACAGGCATGTACCACTCACTATGTCCTACTTATGCCATGCTGGGGATCAAACCCAGGGTCTCATGTTTGCTAGGCAAGAATTCTACCAAATGGTCATATCCCTAGCCACATCCCCAGGACCACTTATAGCTTTTAAGTTCTAAGAGAAAGCCTAGCAAAGTGTGAAAATTACATGCTTACCACATTTGCCAATTCACAGACTATAGGTACAAACCTAAAAAAGCATGGTGGTGTGTCAAAGCAGAATCATTATTTACAATGGTGAGACCTTTAAAAAGTCCTTTACAGTGTTCTGTCAGTGTTGAATCTCTGTCATTCGCCGGTAGATGAAGGGACATGCCTGCCCCTGACTGTCAAATGCGGGAGGTCTGACAGTGTTCTTACAAATCTAAGGACAGGAGAACAGACAGGAAGTAAATCGGCGGCTGCCAGGCTCTGGAGGAACTGGAGGGGCAGCTCACAGGCGTGAGGCTCCTTTTGGGGGTAATGAAAATGTTTTGAAATTTGATTATGGCAATTGGTTGTACAACCTTAACTATACTAACCCCACTCTGGTCAAAACAGTTAATTTTCTGTTATGTGAAGTTTATCTCCATAAAATATACAGGTGGAAGGGTGAGGATTGATTCTCCAGAGGTGAGGCCACTCATACCTCGTCTTTGTTCTTTATTATTTTTTGATAGTAAAAGGCAATCGCAAGTGTGAGTTGAACTGCCAAGCAAGCGGCTACCGCTTCTACGTACGGCAAGCTGAGAAGGTCATCGATGGCACCCCCTGTGACCAGAATGGCACAGCCATCTGTGTGTCAGGACAGTGCAAGGTAAGTGCCCCTGGCCTTGGGAGTCTGTGCCGTGGGTGCTGAACCTGTGACTGACGGTTTTCCAGGGCTGAGATGGACGGGCTTTCCAGCCCGGTGCTTTTGACCTTTGAGAGCAGTGCTGGGATATGCCAGCCTTTCAATCATTAAGTGACTTGTTTTCACACTGCGTGCTTCAGAGGGGCCTCGACACTTGACACTTGAGGGTCCTTCCTGGTGAGGTCACCTGTGAAGTGGGGCTTGTAGAAAGGGCGTGGCTCTCTCAGTTGGGAACAGATGGCGCCAGTGTGCGGGTAGCATTTTAAGAGAATGGTGTCTTTTAGCCTGCCTCTCCCATCTGAGGCAAGCTTCCAGAGGAGCGTTGTTGAGTGCCTTGCAGAGCAGAAGATGGACTTTCAACAAGAAGTTTCCCTCCTCCTCAGGCTTCTGCAATCTACTTTAAACTCCCCACCCCACATTCAGTGGGGTGTTCCCTGGTGACAGAAAGTGACATTTAATTAAAAACACGCATCTGAAATAAGAGCACAGGCTTCATAGCCACATGTCTCTCCCTGGCCCTCTGCCCTCCTTTCATCTATCTATAAACGTGTCTCTGGAGCTAAGGCCTAATTGGTGCCCATGCAGAAGAGGCCGCAATGCTATATCAGTTAGCGCACCGTGGCCGGCAGGATTGGCTTTCATCAAGGAGAAGCCCTTCGGCTAGGATGTTCTTGAGTGTAACTTCCTGTGTGTTTAATATCAGAGCTAATAAAGTATGACTTATATATCTCTATGTACAACCTCCTCCTTCATCACCTTCCAAAACAAAAAACCAAAACCACAGTCCTTGTGTGTATGTGTTCGTGTGTGTGAATGCAGGTGCATGCCCCTTCCACCGCACATGTGTGGAGCTCGGAGGAAAACTCGGGTGTCAGTCTCTACCTTCTACCTTGTTTAGAGGCAGGGTCTCTCGTTCTGCTGGTCTTCCAGCCCTGCTGGTCCACGCTTCCTGGGATTCTCCTGTCCCCACCTCCCATCTCTCCGTAGGAGCACCGTGAACTTCCACATCTGGCTCTGTGTGGATGCGGAGAATCCACACGCAGACCTCCCTGCTTGCACAGCAGATGCTTTACCCACTGAGCCATCCTTCCAGTGCCCCACCCCCCGATGGCTTAGAAAGTTCTTTTTTAAAAGTGAAGCCCTTGCTGGTATGAATTAGCTTTTCTGTAGAGTTTAGCCTCAGCATTGCATTGTCACAAAGATTCCCGAATTCTCACTTTCCAGAGTTATATTACGATGTTAATCTGCAGAGAAGTTGCATCCATCAGTGCCGTTTTGATGAGAAAGTTCCAAGTAAAGTGTAAAAGAATTTTCTAAATGCGGTTGGTCATCTCAGATGGAGAATGAAAGAAGTTGAGAAAGATGGAGGCTCTCCTTGATATCTGATGTGAATGAAATGTTTTTGGAGGAGCCAAACCTGTGACAGGTCTTTCTTTGGACTGCCAGAGATTTTCCATTAATTATGAAAGCTTGGCCTTAGCTCAGACTTGTTCCCAACTAGCTCTTAAAACTTAAATGTCCCCGTTTACATTAATCTACATTCTGCCATGTGGCTCGTTGCCTCTCCTCAGTACCATGTGTCCGATTTCCTCTGCATCTGTCTGACAAATCTCTTGAACCTCAGATTCTTTCCCAGAGTTCCTATCTCTCCCCGGAAGTCCCACCAATAGTTTTCTTGCCTAACTATTGGTCATTCAGCTCTTTATTAAACCAATCAGAAGGTGCCTTAGGCAGATGAAGTTAAACAGACACATCTTCAGTGTACGAGAAGATTATCCCAACACAAACAACCCAGGAATAGGAGAACAAAGAACAGGCTACTTCAACATCCAACAGGGCAAGCATTGGTGTTGCTGTAAGCCAGCAAAGAGCCCTCTGAGGCTCGCCATGTGCTGAACCCTGTGCTGTGCGCTCGCTCTCTCTCTCTCTCTCTCTCTCTCTCTCTCTCTCTCTCTCTCTCTCTCTCTCTCTCTCTCCTTCAGTGCTTAATTTTTAAAAATTATTCAATAAATTTTCTTAAATATATGAATGAATAAGCAAACTGAGAAGTTGTTGGTACACCTCTCCTGAAAAGAACCAAGAATATGATTAATAGAGGATTACAACTGTGCAGCCCTTGCTCTGTTCTCAGGGCCTCCTAAAACCTGAATGATGTGAGTGGACCTGGCCACAGGCTGATCCAGCTGGCTAGGCAGGTGCCTCCTCCCTCCCTCCCTCCCCCTGTGGTAGGCGCCCCTCCTAAAGCTTCCTCCACCGTCTAAGAGGGTGGCCTACCTGCGAGAGGAAGAACTGTCTTGGGTCAAGAGTACAAGAGTAGCTGTACTCCCCTGCCTGAAGCCTCAGACAAGCTGGGAAAGTCCATGTGTGAAGCGGTGTAGGGTAGCCAAGCTTCCAGGGCTCCAGCAAATGAGGCATTGCCTGTGGCCATGTGCCCTAAAAAATGTTAAAGCTGACACTTGAACGTAAACCGGATGAATTTCCCTAGTTATATATTTCTTTTCTATTAGGTATTCTTTCTCTCATTTTTAGCTACTCTGACAACTCCCTCACATATTGAGTCTGTCTTGATTTCTTGATTAATATATGCTCGACTTTACTTATGCACACATACACACATCCACACACGCACATTACAGGGATCTCTTGGGTCTTGTCTTCTTGAAGGAAAGAATTTCTAGAGTCATGGACAGTCAGAGCAGAAGGTCCCTGAGTGAAGCAAACACTCAAAAGAGAATCTGAGAAACAACCCAGTGAGTTCTGTGCCATTAGTGGTAAAGAAATTTTTATGAATATTTATATGACAGGTTGCATACTCATGGCATAAGGTGGCCCTTTGCCTTCCCAAATCATCATGGACAGGATATCCCCTTTAGGGGTTTTCCTCTCATGAGCTTATGGGAAACACACCGAGAGTGAGGGAAGTGTAATAATAGTGTGGGGGAGTGCAATGATAGTGCAAATGATACTAAATTGAAGTCCAAGTCTTTTGAGGGTAGAGACCCTTCCGGGGTACACGTGTATGGGAAATGCTCAGATGACTTAGTCACTGATACGACAGAGCGCTGAGCCTGCAGCTTAAATGGTTTCTAACCACAGAGGGCTGTTTTGACCGGGAGGCCCGGCTCCCTCGGTCTTCTGAGACACGGCTGCCATCTTCTTCAGTTACCTCCTACCTCCTTGCCCACCGGGTATCACACAGAATTCTTGGTTATCCTCAGTACTACACATCATTACCCATTCAGCAGCTAGCAGGTCCTTGCCACACCCTGGGGTTGGACGCTGGCACTAAAACAATGGAAAAGACTAACACGTTTCCTACCGCCCTAAGCTCGAAGCCTGGCAGAAATAGTAATAAAAAGCCCGTGGAGTGGCAAAAGAATTACCAAGTTGGGTGAGTTCTTGGCAGTTACCAGGGTCCTGAAAACATGAAGAATTGTGGAAAGCCTCATTAAGTGGAGTGTCACAGGGAAGTGTCTGAGGAGCACAGGGTCCAGGTGACAGATGGAGGCAGTACCTTTGACCTCCAGCTGCCCGGATGGAGAGACCTGGCTCAAATGAGGTGCTCAGGGGCTGGCAGACGTTGAGGTGCCTGGTTTGTGCTCACTCCTGCTCTCTGCCCAAGGTTAACCTGGTCTCTTCATGGGGCTATCCTTAGCCAAGGAGGCCCTTACATATTCCTGAACATGTGCTGGCTTTGGCAGTGGAAACCTCCGCTAAGTCATTGTCCAGGTCTCGACAGACTCCCCTGGAAACAGGATGATATAATGTGTCAGGAATAGACCATGAGGTCATCCTGGATGTCCAAAATGAAAACGGCTCTGTGGATAAGATTGAGGACAGGATGTCCAGAGCTTCCCATGCGGTCCTGATGGTGCCTCCTAGGCTAGAGTACATGAGAGACAGCAAGGTTTGTGGCCCTTCCCCATGGCTTTCTGAAGAGATGGGGATCTTACAGCGCTCTATCTGAGTTGGCAGGGGTGGTACCTGTCACTTAGTACCAGGAAAAGGGGAGAAACCTCCACTGAGCCCCTGCCCCTAAACCAAGCAGAGGCTGGCACTGTGGCTACCATCTCTCTTGGCACTGGGGCTACCATCTATCTTGGTACAGGATCCAAACGGCTACACAATGCTTATTTGATACTGTCACACCTATAGGTACTGTCCCCAAGTCGCGACATAAAACGTCAGGGTTTCAGAGAGCTATGCAGGGTCTGGACAGCCCATGCAGCCTAGTTGGACTAGGAGGCTAATGGGCACTGTGAAAAGCACCATGGCCAAATGCAACTGGGGGAGGGAAGGGTTTATTTCAGCTCACAGTTGTAGTCTAGCATGAATGGAAGTCGGAGCAGCAACTCCAGAGAGGAACCTAGAAGCAGAAACTGAAGCAGAGGCCGTAGAGGACTGCTGCGTACTGGCTTGCTCCCCATGGCAGCCCAGTTTGCTTTCTTATGTATGCCAGGACCATCTGCCTAGGGCTGGCACTGCTCATGTTGGAGTGCCCCCCCCCATCAATCATTAATAGAGAAAATGCCCAACAGGCTTGCCCATAGACCTACGTGATAGAAGTGGTTTCTCGATTGAGGTTGTTCTTCCTAGATGACTCTAGCTTGTGTGAAGTTGGCAAACCCTCGCCAGCCCAGGTGAGGTACCCTGCTTCCTTTGGGTCCCTGTACATGTTCCTGCAGAAGCAACCATATCATCTGCTGGTAACTTGTGGGATCGGACTCTTATCACTATGGGCATAGTGTGCTTAGCACAATGATGGCTGAGGTGGGGCCCGGCTTGGCTGTCTTGGTGAAGATGTGAAGGGGACATCTGTCATCTCAGCACCAACTTTAGGCATCCCCTATAAGTTGCTGCCAAAGTTTGAGTGAGCCAAATTTAATGGGAAACCTCTGGAAAGACAGGCTGGGGTACTGTACACCTTAGTAGAAGTCAACATTAGAGGACAAACATATAGGACA